TTTGTAGATGTTTTAGTACGGGAATATGAATCACTTCACGTTCTGTTTTTAGTCTGGAGATTTCTAGATTACATTTCATAAAAAAAATACTCATATCCACAACTACTCTTTCCCCTTATCACTGACTATTTCGAAGTGTTCCCTTTAATATGTAATGCTTGTCATGGAAGGTCGTGCTTGCCACCTGATAACCTAATTACCTATCATAATTAATCCACTGGTGATTAACGAAAAGCATAGTTTGGGAAGAAAAATATATCCTTATTTACAATCGCCTTTATACATCACAAAGTTTCTGATTCGCAGTTGTCAGCATTCAGGAATCAATTCCAATTCAAAGACAAGTGTGTAACTACACTCATTAATCATGACGTGAAGGTGTTAGTCCTACATCATTTTTCAAGAAAATCATCAATACAGATAATTATTCTCTAAAATTAGCATATATTCTATTTATTTCAGTTGAATAGTACCTCTGCAAGAAGTTTAAAAAGTGCAGTTAAGGGACGGTTATATCGCTGACATTAACTTCAACATGTATGAGAAGAACGCCAACAACTGATCACTGAACTAGAAATGAACACCACAACAGCGCTGCATTTCGCTTTAAAATTATCGGATGTAAACTGAACGCAGCTTTATCAGAGTCAACACAAATAAAATTAGCTAAAATTGTTTTTTTATATTGAGACTTTTCTCCCTTCATAAAGCTATCTCACTTCATAACAGCATGAAGGAATATTAGTGGCCATTAGGGATTTTTTGGTTCATCGACTTATTGTAAATATTCTGCGATACCTCTTTCGACACACACTTCATCTAATAAGAAACGTGTAAGGCGTGATTCCGCTAACTTACTGTGAAATACTTAGTGAACTGCCCACTTCATTCTTGCATTCAGTAACATAGTGTTTTTATCATTTACATTTAATTCAAGTAATACTTTAATATTTAGCTGAAAACTAAAATTATTCACTGTGGAAGTAGGAATAATAGTGGATTTCATAGCCAAAAAGAAATCCCTGTCTGACTAAATATAGATAATGACGATTACTTTGTAAATGTAGTAGAAGGTATTATAGGATCTCCACAGACTGGAGCGCAAACTGTTAAGTATGGAGTTCATTGTGAACCTAGTAGAAAATAAACATACACGCGACTCGAAACATACATCATAAACGAAACCATGACAGGAATAAAGCTAATGTAACATCATCATTTTTTGACTTTTTCAATATTCCATTATTTTATGAATTAGCCAATTTTCATCAAGTAACACTAACTGGTTGATAGTAGAAAAATATTTTCAGTCGTGATTTCAATTATTAAATAAACATGTATTAGACGACTTTATTTTACCAGTTAATAAACACTTCACCATGAATGTAAACAAAGTTTGATTCAAAGTCCAGAGAATTAGGTGTATATATTTACATATAATGTGAGCAATGAGGTAAGTTCATTTCATAACGTCTGGTGTAAGATGATTGTTTTTTTGGAGGTAATCACTTCAGTTCTTATGATTTGCAGTTACTATCACTTTCTAGTCATTAATCAGAATCACAATGGCTGCATTCCTCGTTTAATCTTAGGCATTCTTATTTCATGATTTCATGGTTTCTTAAATTTAATATTTCATATGAATTGTGAGCAGTCATTGCAACATCAGAGAGTCTGTTTCCTTAAGTCTTTTTAATCTTTTGAAATATTTTATTGACATAACATTTATCACATAGTATTAAAATAAAGTGGAACACATCTGAAGGTGAACTCCAAGTCCAAAAACTCTACATCTTGCAACATAACTTCTATTAGGAGAGTACAAGTACATCCCATTACTGATGGCAATTCCAAACATCGTGCATGTGTGAGAACAGGTTTGTAGAAGAACTGATGTGGTTAATGGAAACTTCAAATTCACACGCTGAGGACTGTCGTGTTTCCAGGTGTATACTGATAGTCATTTCGGGCTGAATTATTGTCTCCGAGACATTTCAATCTTATTTGTTGTTTGATATCAACTCCAACTTTTGAAAGTTTCACACAATTAATATATTCATCGATGACATCGCTCATATGTGTAGGCAATGCTTATGCATAAAATGGTTCATGCTAAGAAATAAGGACATATTGGTTTTATCTAAAATCAACATTCGCGAAATATGTAACCACCGTGGGCAACGCTTCAAAATAGATTCCTTGATTTTGTTAGGAATCAGCTACCTATGGACGATATCAGATTTTTTACTAACATGTACTGAATATTTTTTTCAGGCGTACGCAAATTTTGCTACTGAATGGATGCCTTATGTAGCAATCATTTGTCTGTAAATCTTCCTTTCCGCAATCTTTGAGATTAATATTATTGACTATATATGACTTGAAATACCTTCATATCATTTCGTGATTATAACCTCAAAACTCAAATCATGGAATGGTGATGTGCGTTGGTGACACAGCGGTTAAGACTGTCGTTGACCGTGTAAATGGTCTGAAGTTAGATTCTTCGACGACGCACACCGGATATCAATGGTCGGCCTGCGAAGTTCGGCTAGCGATGTCATACGCTGAAAATTTCATACTTGTAGCAAATATACGGTGTGGAATGAAGCTATAATCAAAAACAAATAATAGAGCGAAGAATCAAGCAAACTACTGACTACTACAGATTTCAAGTATTTTTTTGTTTACACAGACACTTTCTTGGTCTGATTTATGGCATCGTCAAGGTCTTGCGGAGATGGTGCAACATTTTGTCCATCTGTTTGCTGTGAATATTAGTTTGATTAAAGTTATGCAAAAGAACGAATATTGGAATTTAACTCCATATGAATAAATATTGAGTAATTCATCAATTTTAACTGCGTTGAGATGGCAGTTGAGTGAATACCATTCTGATTACTGGACTCAGTACAATATTGTTAATAACAAGAAAACAAACAGAAAGCGTACACACATGATCGAAAATTCTTTTTCTCAGGGCATATATTAGGCTTTTGTTTCTCAAACTGTATTAGTAGGCAAGCAATGAATACACTGGATTGAAAAGGATTCACTGAACCTCTGAGTAACTGATAACTAGCGAAACGCAACAAAGTGAACGTTTTTGGAATATTCGAGCAGCAAAGCTTAACTGAGTTCATCTGATCTTTAATAATATATCGGACCAATAAACGTATAACCAGTGCTTTAGTTTTGAAATCATCAAAGTGAGCATATACTAGGAATGATTCCTCAACTATTCCAAATATGTGGATAGTCCTGCTCTAAAAAGCAAATTATTTGGATGGATAAAAGTATCAACAAGCAAGGAATAACTGATGTAGGGCTATTGAATGCTTTTATGTAGAAAACTCCTTTCATCTTCAAGATTTCCTTTTAGCTGTTTCTCATTTGTATTTTAGAGTATTGGCTGTGATCCTGTGTTTAATTTTATTGTTCAAATTCACAAATAATTTGAAAATTGCGTTGATTCTGATAGGAATCATAGTAAGTTCCTCAGAGATTCACGTTTAGGAATTAGCTTTATTTAGCCGAGATAATTTTGTGTGTTTTTGATAATCACTCAAAAATGGATTATTTTTAAGCAAATAAGAAAGATTATTAAAATAGAATTTATTGAATTCAATAAATTTAGTAGAACAGCAAGCTCAACAGTATTAATATTAATAATGACAATGATATGAATTTCAAGTTATCACTATTGATGAAGGATGGTTTTAATTGAACAGAGGATAATAATGCTGCAGAATAAATTAATAACAAAAATAACAGTTAATAAGTAAGGTAAACTGACATAGTGGAATCAGAGTGACCACGATTTCCTACTGTACTCGGAGACTACGTTTATGAACCACAATTTCACAGGCCTCCGCACCTTCACGCATTTTCCTCCTCTAACCGACAGAAGCGATGGACTTGTTAGAGTCAGTATCATGTCTCCAGTCTATGAAATTCGTTGTTATTGGAATTTTTGATACCCTGACAGCAGGTGTTTTCAGTCTATTTACCAAAAGCCGCATTATGCGAATGGGCGATCGCCTTCCCCTACAACCTACATATTTGTTTCAAGAAGCCACGTTCATTTAACCGATTCGAATTGTCGAAGATTGGCAACAGCTCTTTTACAGATTTCTGAAGCAGTCACTTGGTGCACTCAACGAACACGAGTTTCCCAGTATAACGAAACCTGCTTGTAGGTTTATCAAGTCTTTGTTTAACTAGATCCAGTACGTCATACCCTAAAAGTTGCGGATTGATATTTGCAGCTTTCTTAGAAACTGTCAGATATATATAAGTCTCGAAACCGTTGATGTTACGAAGTTCCTGGAATAATTTGAGCACCGAGTTAGATTGAATCATTAAAAATTATTTAAATGAATTCCGACGTGATTAAGACGGTTGTATTGGGGCATATTTATTTGGAATATCTATTGGTGTACCACTGACGACATCTTAAACATGAATGCGATAACCTCCACAGTCTTTATTTCGTATTCAATTGTACTGTGAAAACAAATGTTTTGTGCTCTGTTCGGAACAATTTCTTATTTTATAGGCTTCTTATTATTCTTCACGTGTTTACCTGTAAAGTTAACGAATCGTTTACGTCGAACTCACTCAAAAGTTTACGTAATCTTTTAAACAAGCCTTCACTGAATTAAAGCAAATTACCTACATTGTTCAGTGGATGGGCTTAAAGTCATGATTCATGACAAGCAAGCTTTCAAGCAATGTGTTCTTTAGCTCTTACTCATAAATATGGATGTGTCCTCCCTGTGTAGGTGTGAATGAAATTTGATAAAAGTAGCGGGATTCACCAATAAGAATGTGACACTTTGATGGTTTACAGTAAAACAGAAATTACGTTTTCTCATCTAAACCACAAAATGTAACGAGAATCAGATACTTTGCACACCCTCCTTTGGGTATATGCAAGATACTGAGGATTCATGAGTCCTTCTGCAGTTGTAGTTATACAACGTCAATCACACAATAAACGCGAAACCAACATTCATTCTATGCAGATTTTTCACATCACTAAAAGTAACACTTTAAGAACATTTTAAATGAAATTCGCTGTTACTTTATATGGAATTTCTATGCAGAAGTAAACTTTGTGAAAAATGTTTAAACTTTCGCACTCAGATGTTCAGAATATCTAATTTATTTTCCCAACAGATTGCATTATGGTCTGCAGCTATCAATTTTGTATGTTGCAAAATGGCTGATTTTAACTGTTACTTTTTATTGGGCTTCGTTATTCAGGAAGATGTGTTAACAATTATTGCCTTCATCTATGTCAGAAGATTCAAACTAGTGGTGATGATGGTTCTGATATCTTCATCGATGGCTTTTCTGGTAACTGGAGCAGTTTTAATTTATTTGGATACTGGCGAGGTAACTGCATTGAAATATCAAGTTATCCTTCTTATTTTATCGTTTTAACATTTAACATAACTGGAATCATCAACTAAATGTTACTATTACTAACACGGAATTCTAGACATATGCATACTTTTGTATTCCGGAGACCATACATCTTTGCATTGCCAGAGGAGGATAAAGTAGGGGTATATTTGCATCAATTCAATAATTGAAGTACATTTGCCTATCTGAGAAACAGTATTACACTTATTTGATATGTAAAATAAAAATGACTATGTAAATTTATGATAATGACGAAACATCCTATTACACAGGGGTAAGAAATGGTAAACTTAAATTCCTGTGAAAAGATGCATTTTTGTGATCCCTAATTTATCTCACTGATTCGTTGAAATTTTCAGAAAGCTGCGTTGTTGTACATAAACATTTTGTGATTTTGTTCCACTTGACAACATTCAGTTTTATTGCCAGATTACTAATACTTGAATTGTTCATTCGGTCTGCTGTAATCCTTTATCAACATTCTGACTGTAATTGATCTCAACTCGTTTCAGCGGAAATATTCTGAATTGGCTGGCGGCTTTTGGAACACTGCCATAGCTACAGTAAGTTCACGGTTTTACTTTGGAGTTTAGAAATTCAATTATGTATCAGCTGTGTTTGATTTGAGATAAGAAATCATAGACGATTTGTAACAGAAGCGAAGTCTACCTTGACAAGCCTTCATAGTGTGGCCAAAAATATTACAAATTTCCAAATCACATTCCATATAGATCAATGTTGATTCTATTCATTAATGTAAATCAGGAGTTTATACTCAATCAACAGACTGGTATATATTCAATTGAAACTCAGAAAATTCATGTTTATCTATTTGTTACTTTGTTTCTTTCAGGTGGCTCTAGTTTTTGTCAGCTTGCTGAAATAACATGAATAACACATCGGTCTATCGTTCATACTGTGTCAAGGGATATTCACTCGTGCTTGCGTACACATTTTATTGTGCATGTAACTGCCTGACTATTTGACAGTTCACATTTTCATATTACAGAATAAATTAATATTTCTGCACTAGAACTTTCATTTTTGTATTTGCACAACAATTTTTTCTGAATGGCGTTTTTCATGAGTTCTAGTTTTCTCTTGCTTCGAGGTTGTGTATTCTGACGATGAAGTCGTCTTTTGAAAATGTGACTCAGCCAGATAAAAAAGTTGTTGGATTCAGGTAGACGGGGGGACTCTTAAAATAAATAATCACACATGGAAATACTAAACGAAACCCGGTTATATGAATGTATGCTTCTACAATCCAATGAAAGAAACTATTAGTTGACCGTCTTCCATTCGCTGGATCAGGTTGTACAGTGGTGTGATCTTGACGGCGAATCATCAGCGTAAGCCGTTTGGTCTTACGTTGTTGGCATAATTGTCTACCTGACCTCCATCATATGTGCCTGCATCGTTTTTCACCTCCTCTTGTAGTATAGAATGACAATTGATCACTTAAATTGGTAATCAAGGAAAATAAGAAAATTGTTCACTTAGCTCACTGCGTAAATATGATCTGTTTCAAGGCTGCTACGTCAAAATCTTTCATTTGAAGTGACATTTCTCTTGTAGTAATCCCCTGAATATCTCAATTTACGTAAAGGAAATTCGACTACTACAGTAACTACAGCCATCAGTAATGTTAATAGCTTGGTCATTAACAATATGCTTACACCCAATGACGAATACTCAACTTTCGTTACAGGAAATTCTTCCTTCATTTACTCTGATAAATCCATAACAGCAAGTTGGGAATCCAAAAGAGATGAAATATGTGCAATTTATTATAATGACAGATGTCACCCTGGTCAACGACTGTCTCTTTAATGTGCTGCAAAATTATTAAATCACTATGTTATATTGTAATTGGCTTTCTTATTGTCGAGGACTTGGTAGCAATGATCTCCTGCATCTTAACTAGAAGATTCGAACAAGCAGTCGAAATATTGCTGACGTCTTTATCGACTACTTTTCCGATAAGTGGAATGGTTTTCTTATTTTTTTAGGGAAGTGTTATGTAAATCAGTTGAATTGCCAAATGAACCGTTGCATTTTATCAATAATTCCTGTAATTATTACTAATGCTATTGACAAATTTCTGTTGAGATGATGCTTTATTTGTGGTTTGTTAACAGTTTTACTTTGAAAACAAATTCCTAGTCAGATTTAATTTCCCCTTTGCCTTTAGATATAATATCAGAAGATATAGAATAAGTGATAGAAGCAACGATTTTGTTGATGAGAAAGAGTTCAACACAGATTCGGATCATATTTCATACATATCTCACAGTTACTTTTATTCACAAATATGAACTATTGAGCGTTATTCAATACGCAAGTGAACAGGCTCACGCGAAAATTATTGAAATTGTTATTATTCACATTATCGAATTTGGTAGTCTGTTCCCCTTGTGTAGATCTGATTTTCATCGGGTTTCTGCAGATGAGCTGGGCATCAAATAGTTATGTTTTAATTGGCATCTGGTCGTTTTTGATTGCAATTCTAATTATTTCCCCGCATTCATCATCACGTTGTGTTTTCTATTGTTGAATAGTCTACAGTTCATTTTCGACATTTTTGGTATGATATAATATTTCCATATTTCGTAGTTAAATGAACATAAGTTTTGAATGAATTGGTAAGTGCATATTCACTCTGAATTTGATAGTTCGTGTAAGCGCGTTTTTATAAATGGCGATTTGTAAATAAAACAATTCTCCTATCATGCTATCAAAATGTCAACACAGACGTTGGAGATAAATTGATGACTGTGACATCCCACTGATTCTCTTTGTCCTGATTTTTAACAAAAGATGTAACTGAGTGAATTTACAGCGTTGATGACAGTACATCGATGTAAAATCAGGCAAGCTAAAATACAAGAGGATGCTTGTTCGTTAAGTAGAAATGACATTAAACAGAAATGTTTTTCATGACAGAGACACTATTCACCTCACCAGTCAGTGATTCTGAGGTGGTTTACCACGACGTTGTGGGAATTATTTATATCAAATAGAAATCGGAGAATATCATCTGAATTAGAACATCACTTCAAGCACTTTCGAAAAAGAGTGAAGCTTTCCACTTTCTGAATGAAAATTTTGTTTACACTATGTATTGCCAAAGATTTGCTTTTTGTATAGTATTCATCACAGTCGCTTAATTTTGGAAGTGAAACAGGCCTGACTGTACTTTCCCTATAGAAGAAGCTATACACTTTGACAACTGCTGTTCTTGTCACCATAAAATCTGAACTAGTCTGACTAATTTTACGTGATACTGCCAACAGAGTGTATGGATACTATTACTGATAAGGGAAATTGCCACTCTACATGACTACAGTGAACATGAAACATGCATCTGTTTGTGAGAACTTCTCATACATATTTCAATATCGTAATCAGCCTTCGTCAGTATTGAATCAAAACATAAATGGAATTACTATTGTCCTAACATTCACTTTGGAAAGAGGTGGCTTATCTAGACAATCAGGTGCGAATTCTAGGAAATCTCTGTTTCTGAAATTCTATTCGGAAAACACAGTAGATATGTGGAGTACCTAACAATGTGATTGTACATTTTTTGGTTACTTGTATAAATTCGAGATATTGTACATAATTTTTGTTTAAAACGCTTCTTGTTGAAATATACATAACTTCCTGGGACAATTGAAAAATACACTCTGCTGTTGGAGACTTCGTCTTCTCCCTGATCACTTCTGCTTACTTGCTCAACTCACACCGTGTTGTATACTTCGGATTTATTGTAGGAGCCTACTACTCTCAACCGAAGACATTTCTACAACCGGAACACAGCAGCTACAGCAGACGCAGTCCAAACAATTAACGTGCCCGTGGATTATATAATTAATTTGTAGTCGAGGACTTAGACGTTATCTACAAGTAATCCTTTTTGTTGCTATAACTCGTCACTGTATTTTTGGTAATATATTGTGATTTAACACTCCACGGACTTGGATTATTACTTTTATATTTGGAATGTTAGTGAACTCTAATATTAGTCCCCTACAAATGAATTGGTGAGCCCGACGTCGGGCTCATTACAACATGCATAAACGCGAGAAGGTATGTGAATCATGTAAAGTCTGAAAGCATATACAATGAGTTCAGCAATAAAAAGGATTACTTGGATATAAAGTCTAAGTCCCCGGCTACAAATTAATTATATAATCCACGGGCACGTTAATTGTTTGGACTGCGTCTGCTGTAGCTGCTGTGTTCCGGTTGTAGAAATGTCTTCGGTTGAGAGTAGTAGGCTCCTACAATAAATCCGAAGTATACAACACGGTGTGAGTTGAGCAAGTAAGCAGAAGTGATCAGGGAGAAGACGAAGTCTCCAACAGCAGAGTGTATTTTTCAATTGTCCCAGGAAGTTATGTATATTTCAACAAGAAGCGTTTTAAACAAAAATTATGTACAATATCTCGAATTTATACAAGTAACCAAAAAATGTACAATCACATTGTTACGTACTCCACAGATATGTTGAATATTGAGGTGAGTAGCGATACTTTCAAAAAACAAATCATGTTTGAATGCCACCTTATACCTTTAATGCGTTTCATTTATTCTCAGAAAGATTGATTAGGATTCATTTAGCTAAGATATTGCTTACCTGCATTCCCATTGATGTACTGAGGTTTATGCTTTAAGTTTAGAATATTATGTATTTCATTCATAGTCAGCACATAGTGAGTTTATAATATGATACGATTTTCGATGTACTTTGAACGTCTGCTCAAATTTGAACTCCATATTCCTCGTTGTGAATCTTCTTTACTCCAATATGATTGGTGGATCGTTATTCGTAGTTTACATATTCCGATCCGATTTGGTAATGAAAGTGGCTTTTGTTATAGTCCCAACCGTGATATGAAGCCTGATAAACTTCAACTTTGCTTTTTTTGCATAATTCTTATACTGTGAAACGAACTATCGTCAGACGTCAGACAGTAGAGAGTACTCGGAATTCAAATCAGAGGTTTGGACTCACGGTAACAACAGCAGTGTTCCAAAAACCTCCGGCCAATGCAGAAAATATTTGCTGAAATATGATAAGGTAAATAACATTCGGAATGTTGGTCATGAGCTGTAGCTGAATAAATAACTGACACTTCAAATCGAGCTAAGTAGGTAATAAGATTTATTCATGCCTGATGGAATGAAACTGCTAATGGTGTGTTTATGAGTACGGAGTTTTCACACTATTTCAACGAAGCCGTACAGAAATGCTTCTTTTGATTATTAATTCAGCTTAAAATTCCTACTACAATGTAAAGATATTTTCGCATCATTGTTGACTTGCATATCGAATAAGTGTGACGCTCTTTCTCCCAAAGCTGACTGTGGTGCGATTCGTGAACTGATTGGCGAATACTGAATACTAGTTTTATCCTTCCCTGTTAGTGTAGACATGTTTGATCTCAGAAATACAAGGATATGTAAGTGACTGAAACACGTTATGAGTAGTAGTCATGCTTAATTGTTAATTCTGGCAATAACGGGAATTGATGTTTTAATACAAAAGACCACTTGACATTTTAGTTAACTTACCTTATCCGGCCATTAAAACGACAAAGTCACTCCAGTGATTAGAAAAGCCATCGATAAGAAAAGCATGACTGTAAACATTGTTGGTTTAAATCGTATGATAACCATGCACGAGATCATTGTGAATACGTCTTCCAGAATGATGAACTCAAGTAAAGTATTACATAGGGAATCAATTTTCATTTTGCAACACATAAGAAAAATATTTGCAGAAGATAGTGCAATCTGTTGGCAACGTAAAGTGGACAATTTCAAAATGTGAGCATAAAACGATACGTATTCAGACCGTAGATGTGACGAGTCTCCTAGAATAATGTGAACGCCTAGTCAGATTGAATCATTCTAAATTATTAAAAATAATCCCAGCACGTTGAAGAAAAATTCAAATAATATTTAATGAACGTTTCTCTGTGTAAGCGACAGCTTCTTCAACGGAATGAAACAGATTTCATCAACTATCAAAATATATTGTGGAAAACAACATAAACTGAATTTAGTTCATCTGAAGGTCACTTGTTGGTAGATATTTGAAACAAAATGAATCAAAAAACAGTCCTCACATATTATTAATGACTAATGTCAAATTGTCATGTACGCCCCTTGTTTGCAAGATTGCGTGTTTGTTATGTCGAAAAAGCGTCAAAACATGATAATAT